CAGTGAAATGATTTGAAATGCTTGAAATTCCACAGCATGTCTTGTGATTGTTATGCAAAGTGCGAATTGTTTGCCAACACAAATATCATAAACTGCATCACTTGCAGTGGTAATGAAAGTCTTTTCACACTGTGGAATTTTCTTTTTTTCCATGGCATTTTCATTTTTCACCCGATATGTGTGTGTGTGTGTCTGCTCACCAACCGAAAACCCGCGCGGAGAAATCAAGCGTGATCGTGTGAAAAAAGATGGAATGGCGTGCGCGATGGTCACATGATCGTGCAGATGCGATGCTGAAATGCCGATGAAAGTGCGCGCTCACCCAAAAATTGATGGAGGGACAAAATTTCATGTAAAATTTTTCCGGTTTTGCCGTTGAACTGGATGGAATTTGGGAAATCCTGGCCATTGAACAGAAAGGGCCCATGGTCTATAATTATTGTCATTATCGTGTGTTATTATAGGGAGAATCAAAATTTTCACCCGGAACCCAAATCCAATTCCTGAAATTGGTGTGTACCCACCAATTGAAGAGTCATTTTTTCGGGATGTCTTTTCCGAGAAGGGCGAGAGAGAGAGAGGCCAGCAAATTATCCCCAGGCCATTACGTACATTCATCGGGTTTCTGAGATGGACAGAAGATGGTCAGTGTGATGAGAAAAAAAACTAACTCTCGCGCCTGAATTCTTGACTAAAGAGGAAGCTCCTGGATAATCGCACATCTCATGCAATCGCTGAATTAGGGAGTTGTATATTGAGGCTCTCCAGCTCATTTCGAGACCCTCTGGGCATTTCTTGTGCCCTCCTCGCGCGGCTCCCCATCAAGATTGCGCGGCGATCGCCTCGGGGAGAGTGAGGAATACGCTTAGAACAGCTCTCTTCTCCATCTCACTCACTCTACAAATACCTTCTTCCAGCCATCCTTCACTTTATTACCATTTTATAATATCTCTGTCACGTTTCAATTCCGACATTTCTTCTAATCAAGCGTGGCTCCAGTGCTGTGCTCTACACTGTGCATCACCACAATACAGTATACATATTGTGGAATTTTATATAAAATTACATTACCATACAGCCATTCAATATGATGCTGCACATACGTGAGTCTACAGATAGTTTCTCTGCATCCACACCATCACATTGTCCCCATCAAAGCATGAGCATCGCGCTAGAGAGAGACGACAGTTGCATCTCAACACAGAAACATGAGTATAAATTTGTTATCAATTCTATGCGCGTATCGAGGGGAATGATCAAAAATTTCCAACTTTGTGCGAGTCTGTCTTCCTCTTCGCCACGAAGAATCATCGTAATGTGTGAGAAAAATCTTCGCCCGCTCGTCCACGATGAAGCTCGCGATCAACAATTCTTGCCCGTAATGCCAATCTAATGGAGTTCCAACTTTATACCATTACTTTGGTTATTATAGTAACCTAGTTCGCGACTCGTTCAACAAGTATGTGCCCCGTTCTATGACGACTTTCAAACATCACAAATATGTCCACATATACAAAAGACTCTCATTTCAATGAAGAAAATTGCACTTATGACCGCCCTTATAAGACATTTTTCAAGCGCTCTGAGCATGAAGAATGCCTGCAATCCCCTATAATTGAGTCAAGGGTCAAATTATATTCAAATTAGCATCAAATTTTTTGCATACTTGCCATTCACAGTAAAAATTGCCATGTTCGCAGTTTTAATATTCAGATTGTAATTGCAAATTAATTACATTTGCATTGATTTGTGACAAATTATTTCACAGAAAACAATTAAAGTTATTTATGTTTCCGTGCGAATGCCGAATGATTTATTAACTCTCTGTGCGGCAGAAAAAAGCATGTAAAAAATCAATTACGATAAAGTTAACAATTAATTAAGAAAACAGTCTGAGCTCTGTGCACTTTTTAAAATCTCTCTGTTATTTTAAGATCTCATCTAACCTTGATCAAATAAGGTAAAGCAAAATGCAGCGAAGAGATTACGTGATGCCCTAGAACTTGGTGTGGATCAAGCATAAAAAAGCCAGTGAAACGCGAGAGCAATTGCAATCGGAGTTCGTCATTTTGAGAGACGCTAATGTGTTCATAAACACAATCTATGGTCTCGTAATTCATTTTAATGCCATATAAGAATAGCACAAATCACAACATAATCCACTTCCCCGCGCGCTGCAGAAAGTCAAAGAGGGCAGCTTGTCGATCAGCAATGCACGCAGTGTTGGTGATGGTGAAGGAGTGTGCATGAGTTGCATATTTTATCAAATTGCACTGAATGTATTGACAATCTCGCGCTGGAATTGAGAGAAAATTTCTCCTAGAGCATTTTCACTTCCTCCGTTCGGTTTCAAGTATGAGCTCGCATTGCTAGGTTAGGTTTTGCCCATATTACACATGTGCTCTGAATGAAAGGTCGCATACTTCTCCCAACCATCATAACCATGCCGCTCAACGAGCGATGAATGATCGCGCTGGGGCCACAAAAGTGGAAGAACTGGAAGACTCCGCGGTGGAAGAAGAGTTTGATAGATGGCATAAAAAATGGCCTGAGGCAAAGTTAATTCGGAGCCATCATTATCATGCTGATGTGGGTCTTTTGTGCACCAGCAACTAATATTTAAATCGAAGCAGGGGCAAAAACTTTCTTCCACGACCATATGGAAATTCCGGGAAATTTCTGTCAAAATACAGCACAATTCATACCAATTATTCTTTCTCTACTTCCATGTGCAAAAGCTGTTTCTCGCCATGCCACTGTAATTAGCATTTCATACGTGAAAACCAGTAGCAATCGCTCTTGTCATTTAATAATATCACTTGTGGTGTTTTCTTCACCATAACTGACGTCACGTGTTCTGCGATCGCTGCCAGATCTCTTCAATCACATGTCGATAGGAATGGCAGTTGAAGTGGAGTTATTACGAATTTTATCGGATTTCCACTGACGACAACCGGCTCACAAACAGTCACTCATTTTCGGCTCAAGTATGAGTCGAGGTGCCGAATTTTATTAGCATTTTAACCCTTTAAAACCAGTGGAAAAACGTGCTGTTCTGCCCACTAAATATTGAATTGTGATATTTATCATACAATGAGTAATTTCAATGATAATTAAGTGCTGAATACTCTTTTCATGACGCCTGTGAACATTTTTGAGGCATTAGAGAGACAAAACCACGTAAAACAGCAACCCAATCTGCGCTGTTTCAATAAATTCTGCACCTCAAAACGCCGTTTAGGATCATTGCGCACCTGAAAACCGCGCGCGTTATTTTTACCACGCGCGCCACACTGTGCAAATTCTTAATTAATTCGGCATTAATTGCCAAGCAAAAACAATGCTTTCGCAGAATAGAGGCGCTGGTGTGAGTGAAAACAAATGGATTTTATCTCACTGCGAAATCAAACAGAGGCATTTCGTGACTTTTCTCGAACAAATGTCGAGTGTGAACATTATTAGATTGGTTAGGAAGCGAGTGTCGGATAAGATTCAGAGTTGGAGCGTTCGGGCGATAGTCGAGTCGTATAGAAATATGAATCGCGAGTTGACAATGGCTGAAATTAGAAAACTTATCACCTCGTGCCCTGATTTTAAGCTCTTTATCTTTTGTTGTCTTTTCCTATTGAGTATCAACTCATATCTGGCCATCTACTTCACCTTTCAGACACTGAAATAACCTTATTGAGCGCCTTCGAAGCCAGCGAGTGAAGGTTAGTAACCCATAAATCAACGTGGAATTCCAATTCAGTCGCCGGCCAACAGTGCTTCTTTTATTGTTACTTCAGCATCATCAAGCGTGCTTTTTTCTTTCTCCCCATTTCAGAAAATATACCACGGAAAATTTTGCATAATTGTACGGAAGACGCGGGAAAAAGTGTGTAAAATGCGATATGAAGTACGAACGGATGTAACACTTGCGGAATGTGGGAAATAAAAAGGTGAAAAATTGCGATTGTGGCCAAAATCTAAGCTTTTTTCCTCGCCCGATGCCAAAGGTGACAAAATACTGTGAAGAAAGCCGCGAGTGCATATAAATTTCTCATGTGACATATTGCGGTGCAAAAATGTGACTATGGCGTGGAATTATTTAACATTGTTGATTTTGTGACTTGTTGCTGTGGCATTTTTTTCTCACTCTCGCAGGAATAATAAGCGGGAAAAGAGCAAAATCAATTGCTGACGCAGCTCATAAAAGTGAACCATTTGGTTTTATAAGGAATTGCAAACTGGCATCATTCTCTACACTTCGCAATGTGCTTAGAAAACGTGGATTTGGCGATGCAAGACGTCACAAATGGCTAAGATTGAATTTATTTTAATTCTTGTGTTTGAAATTCTAACCTTTCCAAATAGACTTTGAATCGTAACTATACGCGATAAATGGTTAAAAAAAATTCCATACAATCGATTTCGCCAATCTTCTGTCGTTCTTTTCTGAGCCACACATTTTGCGCAGAGTGGCGTCAGTTCTTCAGGATCACCGCTAAATACGATAAATACGAATATCCCTTGAGGAGTTAACTTGCAGCGTTTGTAGATGTGCTTTGGAAAGTCAAAAATTCTACCGATTACAATATGAGTCCTCAACGCGTGGCCGATTGTACGTGTTGGGGCAATAAAAAGGTGATTACGTGCAATTTGTGAGGCGGACACGGAAAAAATGTGAGTCGAGAAAAAGAAATTTCCAAGCATCTCTGCGGTTCATTATGGAGGAAGATTCATGAAAAATTGTGTGAGAGAGAAGAATGTACGAGGCAATAAACTGATTTTTTACGGAGCTACCTGTCCAAGAATGTAGCTTGTGTGTGTTAATCAGCGACATGAAATTCCCCACAGTTTGCCATTTGCGCCATACAAAAGCCTCTCTTCGGGGCACCGAGAGAGACACATTCCCCAGCTCCAATGTAATTCATTGGAATAACACGCCACAGGGTGACATACAACTCACAACATGCCGCGATAAAGGTGAAACTGTGCACTTGGGCTCATGTACTCACCATTGATGACAGGTGATGAGTTTCCCGAGAAGACGAAAGAAAATCCAGTTGTTTGGCAAATTGGTGTGTGTGTTGCGAAAAAATTGAGGATGAAGAACTTTTCCCTCTGCCTCTCTACAGGTATCCAACACTCGACGGAAAATATAATCCAATAACTCTGCGTCTCAGTGGCGTTTTTTGCGAAACGTTTTCAGCACTTGTGGAATGTGTTCCTCTCTCGCGTGCAATAGTGTGAGCAAAATACAATTTCACTCCGTTTTGCCCATCTTTTGGAAACTTGTAATTCCTTTTACTGTGTCATCAGTCTCACGTTAACCATAAGATGAGGAATGCAATTAAGTCACTTCAATACTTTTGATCTCTCTAGTTTTTTTTCACACTTTTCAATGGCGACGGGCAAAGTTGAACAATTCAAGCACTTTTCGTCGTCTCTCGCAGCCGGGTGGTGCAGGAAAAGCTATGAAAATACTCAGTGTTTCTTGATGTGAGTGGAATTGATGTTAAATTTGAGACGCTGGGCGAAGTCTTGTCCGACTCATTCAAGTTTCTCAGCGTAACTGACATCGTGGTCGGATTCGTTGGCGCTGGAATGCCGCCGTAAGTTTACCGTGTTCACATCTCCGGAGGAGATCGTGGCCTCACGAGCGCCTGTGCCTGTGTGTTCGCACGCGCTTTGTATGGGTGCACCTTCAATCCCACTCAATAACTCAACACATGCTGTTTGCCAGAGCAACGCAAGCACAGCACCCTGTGGCATGTTATGTGTGTTAATAGATTTTTCACATATTCTATTGGGAAAAGTTCTGACACAGTGGAAATGCTGGTCTCACCGTCGCAGACAGTGGTGGCCTGTCGTGGCCCATCGCAGTGCTGAGAATGCGCGTACCTATATTTATGCTCTGTGGAATTTCTGTGACCATCTGTTGGGCCTCTTATGTGGCGGGAAGGAAGCAAAGAAAAGGAGCAGAATATCCTCCGTGCGCCTCCAATTGCCTGCATTCACGCAACACCACTGCATTTCAACACACAACCATCCAGGCAACGTGAATTCCATCGCGCGAGATAGAGTCCCCATGAGCAGAGGAGATTACACTTTCCACACCGCACAAAACCAGTCCAAACTCCGCCATCGACCTGTGTGGAACATGAAAATGGCATTGGAGGAAAGTTGAGCGGCTCAAGAGAGTGCAGCGAATTTTTTTGCGCCTCAACACAATCAAACACACTTCACATTCCACTGCGGATTGCGATACAAAGCCACTTCTTGTGGAGGCGAGAAGTGGCGTAGTTCGCTGCTATATAGACTGAGATTGGTGATGTTTGACATCAAATTGTTATCAGGATCTATTTTTAAACTTTTATTTACCTCTTTGCCTGCATGTTCTTGATTGAAACTCTGGGTTCAGGGTAGCAAAGCGAAGGTGCAGAGAACATTCTGAATATTCTTGTGAAATGAACAAGACAACACGCACAATGCAGGACTGATTAAAACACAGCTTGAGATTCTTTAAAGGAATTCCGAATTTTACACCGTATTCATGGTGAAATAAACTTTCCTCGCTAAAATCAAGATTTTTACAGATCTCTTTTCTCTTAAATATTCTCAGAACCAGTAAAACTCTCAAATTTTGCATTCACCTTGAATATGCAACCTTCTCCCGCATCTTGAAGTGAGGCAAAACATCCCAATCCGTCCTTTTCCGCTGCAGTCTGGTTACTTTTCACTGCATGCATATTTTTATATTCGTACATCGCACTGACCGCCTGAAAAAATCTCTGGAATTCCATTCTTCCTCCTGCACTTCTTCATCTCCTTTTTCTGCCCCTCTTTTTTCTTCCTCAGCCACAGCGAGATGTATATACGCACCAGAGGCAAGCTACTCGCTTTACGTATTGGGATTTTGGAGAGTGAGACAATTTTGAAAAATTGTGTGTGTGTGATAAATTGAAGAAATCTATTGAATTGAAAACCATGAATTGGGTGGCTTAACTCGAGTTTGAACGGAAGTCATCACCGCTACAACATTCCACAAATTCTTCAGCAATCGTTCAATTCGACTTAATTCAATTCATTCTTCGCTCCAGAATCTCAAATCACGCTCTCGAGCGATGTGTTATTTGGAAAGAGAGTGGCTGCCGATTTAATTTAAGCATGTTTGGAGCCTTTCAGTAGTTCTCCACATCGTCAATATCGATTGTCACGCGGAGACGCTGATAGATTCGAGAATACCATCAAGAGGAATTTCGAGGATTCCACTGAATCGACGTGTGTGGTCCATTTGAATGGATCAGCCAGTGCAGTCATCATCGTCATTTTGTGCGGCAAACGGGAGAGAAAATTTTGAACGATTGCCTCGGCAAAGCGCATAAATCTTCTCGTCTGAACTCCCAAATTTTGCCAAATATTTCCCATTCCGCGACTTCTTATGTAAAACCTCAATGGCATCACACGAAAGTCCCGACACAGCCCTTCTTTGGATGCGACACTGCAAATGGCATTTCTGTAATTAATTGAGCAACTTACAGTGTTTTGGCATATGAATAATACACACGTCGTGCGCTTATCAATAACGATTATTGACGGGCCGATTAACTGCGGCAAGAGTCTCTGTCTTTTGCTTTCACTTGCATCTCGTGGCAACGCTTCGCTAGGCGCTGTCGATATGCTGGAGGTTGTGGTGAATCTCGACGCTCTCGGGCAGAGCGCTTTTGGCCGCGGCCAGGTATGATCTCGCTTTGGACCGCTGACCGGCTTTCGCCGCCAAAACCGCCAGGTTATTGAGGGCGGCGCCGTGCAATCCGTCGCAGCTGATACACAGTCTGAGGCATCTCCGGGCGAGATTGAAGTCACCGCTCGTGAGCGCCGCGAAGCTGCAATTGTACCAGATATCCGCTCTCTGCTCCGCACTCGTGGCAAGCCGAAAGGCTCTCTGGAAGCAGGGCATGACCAAGTCCAGCAATCCTCCGTAGAGACAGCACAAGGCCAGATTGCAGTGCAACTCGGCGCTGTTCACGCCCATCGAGAGGATCCTTCGATAGTGCAGCAGAGCCATTTCCGGCTGATTATTGTAGAAATGGTGCACAGCTATGCAGGCCAGAGCTTCGCTGCTTGTCGCATCGAATTGGGCCACGAGGCGATACATCTTGACTGAGGCTTGCAGATTGCCCACAAGCTCAAGGATACGAGCTTGTTGCGTCAAAAGGCTCACTTCGCCCGGTAGTCTATCGAGAGCTCCTCGACAAACTTCCAGAGCTGCCAGAGGTTGATCAATTTTCACGTAGACTCGAGCCAGGAGGAGAACTGCATCCGGATGAGCACACTGCGACAGAGCACTGCGAAGGAACTGTTCAGCCTTCCTGGGATTGCCTGGAAAATTTAAATTACTTTTAACCCACTTGCTCTCAACACAACAACAGTCTAGCTTACCTAAACTGATCAGACATCGTCCCTTTTGCATATTCCACCACCAATCAGATTGATTGCTTCTCGCCGAAGTTGCTGCGTCGCACAATTCCAGCGCCTTTCGAACATCTCCTTCGTGGTAGTAAAGATAGCTAAACATGATCGGTGCTACACTCTTCTTGGCAGCAAATAGCGTCAAATTCAGTCTTGCCACGTCCACTAGTGGCCCAGCGGGATCGTGCAAGGCAAAGATCGAAGCGGAACCTAATCGAATATTTCTAGCAGTTTCTGATCGGGAACCAGTGCGAGGAGCAGTTCTCGAGATCATCGAGGAACCAGCACGCGTCTGGCCAATCGTTCCAGGCCGAGCCATTCCCGTGAGAGGTCGTCCAGCAGATGTAGTTGGGCGATTACTTGCCTTGGCGGCAAGTGCAGTTCCCATTCTCGAAGATGTCCTCATGGTAGTTCCCGGACGAGGCGCCGTGGCGAGACGCTGAGTATCCAAATCGTCATTTTCTACCGGAAAAATGTATAATAAGGGACTATTTCGTCAGTGAGATCCAGACTTCAACTCACCTTCAATGCCATCATCAGCTTCAATATCGTCCACATACACTCGTTGTGTTATGGCTCGCATCTTAAGCTCCCAGGTTCTCTGGAGGCGATTATCTGTGGTGTTCTTGAGCAAAGTATTGCACAATTCAATGCACTCATCGTATTTTCGCCTGCGATAGAGAGACATAGCCTCGAAGAAAATATCCATTTTAGCACGTGAAAACCAACTGCTTTGTTTACAAGCATGGTGTCCATGGGAACACTGTTGCGCATGAAAAAAAGGGTTCACAAGCAAACGATCGTTTTCATTTTGAATATTGTTGCTCAGACAAAATGCGTGTCTTGGCTAAGTGCGCTGACAACCAGGCGCCTCCATCGACACAACCAGGCGGCCCCACGGGACACCTGGCGGCCCCACGAAGCATTTGGCTGATTGGATCACAAGATTAGGCTACAAATCAACTTCATATGTGATTAAAGTGTGATGTCGTGAATTATTCCGATGCCATCAAGTCTAAAATTGCAAATCAGTGTAACAGAATTAAATTCTGCAGCGCTTGCATAACTCAAAGCTCATGGCTCCCACTTTGGGAGCTTATTTGCGTTTTGGGCGGAGAGATAAAAGGCCGCAAAATGTGTGATTTAGTGTGTGAGCTCATGGAAAAAGAGGTGATTTTTCATGCTGTTGCGGCTGTGAGTGGAAAATAAATGAAGTACTTGCGAGGTATCAGATTATGTACTCAACACGCTGACTTCCGTGTGGATTGGCTGAGGGAAGGTGCGTGGCTGTATGTTATTTTAATGACTCCTGGAAAATATTTTGGTAGGGCTAGATTAAAAGTAAAATCCTTTTTCGCACCTTCACTTCCAGCAAGCGTAACCGCAGTGTCTCTTCGCAATTTGTCCTCAAACAATGGTCGGTGGAATTGAATAAGAATTAGGCGGGGAAGAGAGAAATGGCAAAAAGATGCCCTGCGAGCAATTGGGAAAGCGAGCAAGGACAAAGCGCTGAAGACGAGACAAGAAGAGTACAATGCTAAATCGATTTCCAACGCGCGTCAGAAACTGTGAATGAAACTCACACACAAGTTCACTTACCTCTCCCGAAATGTTCCTCCAATTCTCTCAATTCGAGGTCTCCCATCTCCGCGATGTGTAAAAGACATGAAGGTGTGGAAGCATTGTTCAAGTTCGGGACGCATAAAATGCTCTCGGGTTTGCTTAAAGCTCGCAGTCATGAAACTTTGATTAAACTTTACACACTCACACAAAAGACCATCGCACGAAAGCATTCACTTTGCATACCTTTGCCAGACTTCTGGCTAAAAAACCAGAACGTGCAAAGTGGCGAAGGAGGGAAAACAGTGGGCGGAGGAATTATTGTGTGACCACTTGCAAATTCAGAATACAATTTACATATTTTAGCTGCGATTCCTTTCGATGGGTTCACAACTTTTTATTCTCTCCAATTGAGCTAATATTTTCATCGAGTGGGCGTCCGAATTTTCTTCCATCCTTCCGTTCATCCGCTGAATGACGGCTTAAGCGGCAGAATGGCATCAGATAAACTGAATTTTCCCGGGATTTCCTTTCCAATTTGCAAAGACACTTGAATATAGGGATAAAGTAATCTATACATATTTACAATTCTTATTGTTCTGAATTGCAGCCCAAGTCAAGAAGAGGTCGAAGTTTCGTGGGTAATTTGCAGAAGTTTGTTCACAATTATTGTAATTAATTCAATAAATTCTTCCCAAATTGCTGTTTGTCTTTGCGTGAAATCCCCTAATGGAATTCACGATGATTCCTTGAATAGTTTGAAAAAGTTATCATGGAAATTTTCAATGAAAAAATGTTTGTTGGAAGCGATGACTTAATGAAATGTTGCCATGAGAAGGAAGTGTGGTGGCGAAAGTATTAAACTTTCCACGAATTTCTGGAATGGCTGGCAGCTGTTGGCGGTGTGTGTAAAATGTGAATATCGGCGTTAAGAAATTCGCATTCGCAGGCGTGGCGATCAATAGTCTCTCGCTCTCTCGTGGCATGTAATCTGAAAGGTGTGGATATTTCCCACAGAGTGTGCGAAATTGTTTTTAGTAAGGCATTTCAGCGCCGAGGTAATTGACGACGAAAAATTACCCCAAGTCTGATTGACTGGGCTGATTAATCGGGGAGCCCGGGAGCTGTGGCTTAATTAAAACACCACACATTTATGGGCTGAAGAGCACACCACAAATCCACCCCAATCGGTGTGCTCGCGCGGTTTGGGGGTGAATGGGAGCCCATTGTTGGGAATTGACAATATCCTATTTGCCGAGTGCTCTTCGTCTGCAAGTGCGTCAAGCATTTGCCAGCCATGGCGATTTATCTTGCGAATCACCTCAATCAATTAAATTGTCGTGCGGCAGCGGGGGCGAGAATCGCATGATACTGTGTGCCCTAGGAATGCCACGAGAGCTCGTGGAGCCTCTTTGCGGCGATATCTCCACCGCAGGTAGATTAATAATTACCAACACATGAGGAGGAACATGCGAGGAGGCCAACAGTGTGAATCCATTTGGGTGATTCAGTCGCGAGATACTGCAAAGCACACTGGACACTTGACAGATTGCTGAGTAACTTCGGATTATCTCACTTGTGCAGAATCACACGAGATTAGACCCACTTTTCTTGCGTGTGCCTGCCATCCTATCGTCACCCTTCCAGCTTCATCACGCCAAAATGACCAAATAGCAATTCAAGGGCGCCCGTTAAGATATGTTTTGTGCACGTAATTCTTGCCGAAATATTTGCTGAATGTGCACAAAAGTATCCCGTTTTGTCTACTCGACACAAGAAAATTTATGTGCATAAGTTCACCACTCGACCTCTTCTCTTCTCTCTGCTATTGACGTGAGGATTTCTGCCTTTGTTCTATTTAGACGGAACTCGTATTTGCTGTGCATGAGAATCTATGTGTGTCAAATAGACCGAAATACACCACTAAATCATGATATAGAAATCAATTAAAATTTGTACTCAACTCGTATTCTTGAATATAAATGTGCGGCATGAGAGATAAGTCATAAGTTATTTTAATGCAAATCAAATACCCAAGAATCATTTTACTTGAATGTTACAAGTGGCAGAATGATGTGAAGCGATGATGGCCAAAATCAGTTGGCAATATGCGTATTTGTATGATAAATAGAGGGTGAAAATAGGAATTTAAAGATCATGCACATTTCTTCAGACACTCTAAATCTACCCCATCTCCTTCGCTCGCTCTCAATTGAATTCAAGATGGAATCTGTGACTGTGGATATCACAGTGTTATAAAAACGTACGTGATGACACTGAGAATGATTTGCAATATAATTCGATGATTGAATAAATCAACGAATTGCTCGTAAAATACTTACTCTCGTGTTCTCTCTTGGCCAGACTCCTTCATTCGGTGGTAGGAGAAATATTTTATGACAGCTCCATGACTTTGAATTGGAGAAATTTTATGAGTGCTCAACTTTAAGTGGAAACAATTCAGTAATCTCTCTTGGAAAATGTTGACCTTTTAAATGCTTTATGTTCTCATTTTTGTGCATCACTAAAAGGTAATTAAATGCAGAGTGTTATTACGTTTTATATTGGCAGGACGTATTGTTCAATTATATCTTTTTAAGAGGTCCAGCAAATTAAAAAGACACACCAAAATTTTAACGGACTTTGCAAGCCAGAATTTCAACATCAAGTGTCTGGAAAAGTTAGTGAGATGCTCTGTGCTTGTCTGTGAAAGTTCTACTTCAAATTAATTGTTCCTGAAACGTGAAAAAATTAATTAAATCTGCATCTGACTGATAGCTTCAATTAACATTATATGCACAGAAAGCACATAGCGCTGAATTGTGTTCACGCCATTGAAATGCGTAAAGCAAGAAATTGTTTAAATTCGTTAAAAATTCGAAACTCCGGAGACGTACGTATATATATTCTGTGTATGTATGTACATTTCTCATTGAAAGTAATCTCCAATAAAGTGATATGAAATGGTTTGTGCATGTCGGAATATTTCATATGCAATGATTAGAGGCACAGTGGGATCATCAACGACCGTGAAACTAGATCCAATTTGTTGTGACTAATTAAATGGCGTGCCACCCACGCTTGGTGGTTAATTGAAAGTCTCGCGGGATTCCGCCGTATCGGCTTTGGTCTAAGCCGTGTGCAGAGTGGCCACATATAGCAAATGACCACTATTCCTATTTGTCACAACCTGCTGTTCGCGTGACAGACACATTTATAAGTCGCCGAGCCAATTGTAGAGCGACTCTCTCCCTCGCCGCAATTTACCCACTTATCTTTGGACACCTCTTCCACTTGTGGTGGAAGTCATCACACCTGGGCTGTCACAGGCATCTCTCGTCCGCCGTCGATTCACGTCTCAATCGTCCCATTCATGATTTCGGCCCCGGATTGATGAGGCGGCGAGAGATGAAAAGACATTTCTATGAAGCGTTTAGGAAGTGGACCAGTCTTTTTGTTCCTCCCAAAAGATAAATAGAAGACACACTCATTTCTTAAGAAAATCTAATCTCGCAATCTATCTGACTAATTTGATGCCATTTCTTAGACTTACCTTCCAAAGTCAGTTTAAGTGAAGGCGTGACTCAGTATTTTCTCGAGGCAATCGATAGTTGTTGTCCAATTTAGCACTTTAGCTATCATTCTATCGATATCAATTAATCACATTTTGCGCTCAATTCTTCTCCAGCTGTGCTGAAAAGCCCAAAAGAATTCAAGTTCATTGCACAACACTTCCTCCCAACCACGCCTCTAACGTAGCATGAATTCTTCCTCGGCAACACGAACAAAAGTTTTATAACCCAAGCCCTCATCTCGTGGGTTTTCTGATCCACTGAATATATAAAACCGAATGTGCATATGTAAGTCGACAATTATCCTTCTGAAACTTTCATGAATGAATTATAGATGAATGAAGAGGTTGCGAATCCCAAATGTATATAAGGGTTTGTTCGGTTTACTTGAGAATTCTTCCCTCATTTTGGCGCCCATTCAAATGTATCCCTTTTCTCAATCATGAAACACTCAATGTACAACGGAAACAAGGGCGCGGAGCGCCTCGACGTACATAAATCTCGTGCAAAGTTCATTCGAATTTGAAAGCATGTCCAATGAAGAATGAAAGGGAGGGTGAAATTTATTGACGTGCCA